CGACCGGACCCCCCCCCCCCAAAAAAAAGTCATTTTCAAGGGATGAAGCCATGAAACAGGCTGGGATGTGGGTGGGGAGGGTATGAAGCCTGGAGAGGCTCCCCTGAGCTGTAAGGGCCACTCCTTACTGTATGTCACTGTCCCTGCCTTCTCTAGATGACTGTTCAAAGGTCCAGCCTCAGGACCCCACACGGCTGCATACCAAGCTCTTCACTCCACAGGGCCCCCTCTTCCAGGCCGTGCTGGACATATTCACCTCCCGCCTGACTGCTGCCCATACCTTCAACTTCACCCAGGGCCTCCACCTTCACAAGGACTATGTAGCTGCAAGGGAGTTTGTGGCCTGGAAAGGTTGGTGTTTTCTTGGATAGGGTGAGGCAGGAGTGTTCCCCCCCGCCCCTTTCTGCTTGTCCCTCACTGGGTAGACCCGGTGCTTTTGTTGGGAGTCTTTGGGGCCCGAATTATGATCACCTAGTGCGTGAGGACTGAAGGCAGGCCCTGATAACTCTGCTGGAAGTCCGAAGGAAAGAGGGGAGGGCTGGGATGAGAGACCCCCGAGCTGTCAGAGTCAAGGAGAGAAGCCTACAGAGAAAGCATGACTTCAACTGCAAAGAGAAGAAGGGTTGGCAGCAGGAGCAGCTGGGATTGTCCTGTGCATCTTGCAGACACACACCTAGACGCCTTCCCGAACCAGCTCACACCTATGCAGGACTGCCTGTCCCTGGTGGATGGAGGTTTTGCCATCAACTCACCTTTCCCACTCACACTGGTACCCCAGAGGGCTGTGGACCTCATTCTATCCTTTGACTACTCCTTGGATGCCCCTTTTAATGTAAGGAGAAGGAGGGACGAGGTGAGGGGCAGAGGGAGGAGAAGAGCGTTTTCTGCTAAAGGGCCATGCTGGGTGTTTGGAGGCTACCCTGGGTGGTGGGCTGAGCCTCTGCTCTGTCCTGTGTGCCTTCTAAATACTGTTGGAAGTCTGCTGTCCCCACTAGAGAGAAGAACGGCTGGGATCATGAGAGGGAGTGGGGAGAGGAAACCACAGGAGGTTGTTGGGCATCTTCTGGACCATCCCAGATACCTTCTCTTATTGTCATGAGATTCCTTCCCCACCCCAGCATGGGCTTGGGCCTCCTGGCCTTTATTGCGATGGTAACAACAGCCACTAAGGTCTCTTCAGGGTGACTCCAAGGGTGACAGCCTCAAAAACTATAGGGCAGCAGACAGAGGTCACCATGTGGATGTGGGTGTGGCGAGGCCCCTAGACCAGCCCCACTCTCTTTGTCCTCTTTGCCTTCTTCGGTCCAACGAGTGCCCTGGATCAGAAGACAGATAGAGGTTGCTTCAGTGCTCACCATGTAGTCATTCTATCAACCCTGTGACATTGAGACCAGCCCCTAACCAGGAACAGAGGGGGTCCCAGAAGGGAAGGCCAGGTGACAGGGAGGAATGATAGTAAGAATGAGGATGCCATTCAAGATCTAAAGGCCTTCCATGATTCATTCTTGGCCACCGTTGATTACAGGGACTCTGTTACAGTTTCACTAGACGTGTACTCTCATTCTTTAAAATCTGACCAGCGTGGCTTTTCCGTGGCAGAGCTGCTTGAAGTCAGGATCTGTGGAGTCCAGGCAGGGTCAGAGCCAGCGTGGAGGGTGGACTAGGCCAGGAGCTCACCCTTTCCCCCTCCTGCCCCCCCACCCCCTGCAAGGTCTTACAGATGACAGAGAAGTACTGCCAGGACCGAGGGATCCCCTTCCCCAGGATAGAGCTGGGCCCGGAGGACCTGGAGGAACCTCAGGAGTGCTATCTGTTTGCCAACGCTGACGACCCCCACTCGCCCATCGTGTTGCACTTCCCCCTTGTCAACAGCACCTTTCGCACACACCTGGCCCCAGGTAAGGGGACATCCTGCCCTGCATCTGACCTGTACAGCCCTGGGGCTGGAGGGGTGGTGATGGATGCACCTTAGAGCGGACTCCCTGGGCAATGTACAAAAGCCTGTCTCTGGAGAGCCGGGGCTGGCGGCTGCTGTCCTCAGCTTCCTGGGCTCCAGTGTTTTTAGCTGGGCCATCTTCCCCGATGAGCACGGGAGCTGAGACGTGACTCAGGTAGGATCCAAGGGATTCCATTCCCCCCCTTCCCCAGAGGACCCCAGCCTAACCTCACTTCTGTTCCTCACCCCCAGGTGTGGAGCGGCAAACAGCTGAGGAGAAGGCGTTTGGGGACTTCGACACCAATGGGCCAGACACCCCCTATGGCATGATGAACTTTACCTATGAGCCTGAGGAGTTTGACCGGCTGGTGGCCCTGAGCCGATACAATGTTCTGAACAACGTGGAAGCCGTCAGGCATGCCCTCCGGCTGGCTCTGGACCGGCGACAGGCACAGGCGGGCGAGAGGGCTGAGGACTGAGCAGGTAGGACTCAGAGCCAACGTCACACACATGGGGTACTAGGGCAGACTCGCCAAGGGAGGGATGGGGGGCGGTCCCATGAGGGGGTTCTGCTTCCTACCTCTCCAAGACCTGCCCTGAGGCTCCTCAGGCCTGGAAAGTGGCAGACTTCTAGCCTGGTTTTAGAGCCAGGCCCTCCTCTGTGTTTCTCCAGGGCAGTGGGGGACGCTAGGCAGAAGAGGGTGCTCAGGGAACAATGCACTGTGCAGAGAAGCAGGCAGCAGCCTTGTCACCCCCATACCGAAGGCCCTCTGAGGGCCCAAGCACTCACAGCGTCCCCAGAGTGGGGCCTGGGATCCCTGAGGTGTGGACTGCCATCTGTACACTGAGACCCCAAGTTCCTGGATTCTGTGCTGTCCAAGAATAAAGAGTGGCCATGTCCGTATCGACCGTGTGTCTTGCCAATAAAGCTCCTTCATCTCTGGCTTTCATGTCACTCCTCAGAGGTCACCGTCCCTCTCTGCTCACCTTCCTGAAGTCTGGCCTCTCCAAAATGGTTTATTCTTGTCCTGACACGTGAACAACACCCTGAATAAGTAGAGAACTCTTGGTCCAAACTTACATGCACTCACATACTAATTCTTCCTTGTCTTTGGTATCACCGGTGAGCAGTCTGATGATGTTGATTAGGGTTCTCAGTCTGTTGTAGATAATTTACATTTCTCCAGGCTTTAGGACTTAAGTTTTAAAAGCTTAATTGATATATAATTCTTAAACACAAGTTTAAAATAGTGTCAAGGAGCTCTTTTAATTTCTGGATTTTCTTTTTCTGGAACTGAGGTTCACACTCAGGGCTTTGTGTTGTGCTAGCCAGATACTCTTTCCCTCAAATCGCCACTCCTCTTTTGCCTTAGTCATTTTTCAGGTAGGGTCTTCTATTTTTGCCCTGGCTAGCCTGAACTGTGACCCTTCTATCCTGCCTCTGATATAGCTGGGATTACAGGCACTACTGGCTTTTCTTTGTTCTGTACTTTAACTGATGATATTAATATAATGTGCCTCAAGGCATTCTTCTCATTGTTCTATAAACTGTTTCTTTAGTGCAGGCTCTTATTGCCTCTCATGAACTTTGGATTCTTTATACATTTGGTAACTCGTGGTTGTAGTTACATCAGGAGTTGCTTTTCTACCTAAGGCAGTTTAAATTTGGCTTCTTGATACTTGAATAAAAATCCTGACTAATTCATTGGGCAACTGGACAGATATTGCTGCAAAACTCCTGACTTAACCTATTGGGCAATTCTTCATGTACTTATTGATTGCCAAATTCTAAAAAAAACTAAGTATTATATATTTTATATAATTATTTATGCAATTATATGCAATATACATTATACATTATGTGTATGCCATATATATATAACACATAGTAATATATACATATAATATATACTTACATAGATATAATATATACCTGTATACATACAATACATACATATATATGGTATATAATACATATGCATGTAATTCAGATATATATAATGTAATATATATATATTATGTCATTAATATTATTCTCGGTTGTTTGACAATACTTTGACACTAACTTTTTTCAATTCCACAATAGTGTTAGA